GAGGGGCTCTAAGGGAGCTAATTAGAAAACTTGATGTGGCCCTTGGAGTTTGGGGTATATAGTGGAGTGGGGCGTGACAGACACCTAGTGGGGAGAGAGCATGAGAGCAAGACAGAGCAAGAGACATTGGGCTGGCCTCAGAGCTGGCTGCACTGCCACCAAGAGCAGGGGTAAGAATGTGTGTTTTTCAGGGACCAGATAGAGGACACGAGGAAAGGCACCAGCTTAGAACTACCCACAGAGAGGGTACTGTATCAATTCCTGAGGACTACTGTTAAAAATTACTGCAAAAATGGTGGCTTATTACCTTATAGTTCTGGAGGCCAGATGTCTGAAATTAAGGTACTGGCCAGACCACACTCTCTTTGTAGGCTCTAGGAGAGAATGCATGCCTTGCTCTTCCAGCTTCTGGTGGCTGTGGACGTTCCTTGGCTTGTGGCCACATCATTCTAATTTCTGTTTCTGTGGTCATATTGCCTCCTTCTGTGTCAAATCTCTCTTAACGCTTGTGATTGCCCTTAAAGCCCACCAGGATAATCTCTCTATGGCAAGATCCTTAACTTAATCACTTTTGCAAAGTCTTTTTTTGACTTGTAAGGTTAACATTCACATGTTCCAGGGATTAGGACATGAATATCTTTTAGGGAGCATTATTCGGCCTTCCACAGATAGGGAGTTCCATGAGAGAGAGCTTGGTGGATATACTGATGGATGACCAGGGCCTTGGGGCTCAGGAGGCCTAACTCACAAGGCAAATACTTTTTACTGCTTATTTCTGATTTCAGCTGTGGAGGGCCCTTCCCTGCTACCTCAGACTCCTGCTAACTGTGCCCAACATTAAGGGAAGACACAAGTCTTTTTTTCTGTCTCAGAGATTTCCTCAAATCTTCTAAGAAACAGCCTGGGGGAAGGGGGTAGTTAATGCATCCTAGGGCAATTCTCAGAGGATGGAGAAGGGTAAGTGTCCAGCCTTCTGTCTTTCAGATGGATAACTCTGGGAAGTAATTTGTAAACTTTTCAGATCTTGATAGAATAGAATCCCCATTGCCTATAGCACTAATTTCAATAATGCACCTTTTTATAGCTTTTAATCCTTCCTACTCCCTCACTTCTGAGTCCTGAGATCACCTCCCAAATCAACTATCTATACCCAAATCCTTGTCTCGGGCTCTGCTTTTGGGAGACCCCAAACAAAGGCAGAAGGATTCCAGCCAGGGAATCCCCAGGAAAGCCACAAAAGTTCTCCATGGGAGTTGACATGGTGAACTTCCATGTTCACCTGGCACCTTTGTGGGATGACTTTTATGCTGGTTTGGTAAAATTTTCTTTATTCCTTAAACCACACCACACCGTTCTTGGCAGAGTGCTTGGGACATTTTAGGTGTTCAGTACCTTGTTGAATGGAAGAATGTGAGGCTCTAGAAAGCAGCTCTTAATCCACAGAGGTAAGGCTTGCCCCACCCCCGCAAGCCTTACCTCTGTGGTTGGCAGGTGAGGCTGCTAACTGCCAGCACCTGCATCTGTCTGCACAGAGATTTCTCTGCTGGCTCCACCTGTCTCTGTGGAGAGTTGGAAGTGCAGAGAGTTAATGCCCCCCTTAAAGCACCCCTCAACCAAGACTGCTGGGCGTTGCGGATACATACCTCAGCTCCCTTGTCCCTTGGGTAGAAGAACTATGAGCTGCACACGAGAGCGCCCCAGTGAACTGAAGTCCAGGTGCTTGATAACTTACCTGAATAGTAGGATAGTTTGGAAGCAACTTCCTCACACTTCATTACCAGGAACCTGGCACCTCCCAATCTAAAGTAATAGGAGAGCGACTCCGATATTAGAGCTGGGAAGGACTGGGTATGTTTTTTGAATAATAAGGTTTAGGAGATACATTAACAGGAGAATGACTATCTTAGTGCAAAAGAGATATCTGATTTTTTTCATACATTCCAATCTTGAGGCCAGTCCACAGCGAAGGCTGCTTTCACCACTCCCCACTCCAAGAATGTGAAATTTCCTGTTTTCCCCATTTGGCAGCAAAACTGTAAGACAGGAGGCTGACAACAACCCATGCTGGAGGCCACTTCTCACAGGAGGACCTCAGTTCCAGAGGATGAGGCAGAGGAAAAGGGTTTATAGGAACTTGGGTTTGGGAAGGAAAGATGAATGAGGATGGGAAGGAGTAGAGAGGGTCAGGGTAGGTCTCCCATAGCATGTCAGGTGTGAGTCTTGAGACATAGGTGGAGCCTGCTCCCAGGGTGCTTCAGGGAAGAGTCCCAATTATCCTGGGACTCTACCTCTTAGCTTAGGTCACTTGAGCTCGGAGCAGAGAGAGAATTGTGCATTCTTCAGCTGTATGCATGCATGTGTGTGCGTGTGTGTGTATGTGTGTCCGCGCACCTGGGTAAGGAAGAGAGGACATCTTTTCTTCCCTCCAATCAAACACAGGATTTTCTTCAATCTGTAAGATGGGAAGTACAAAGAGAGCCAGGCATGGACCTGGCTAGTCTGTCCAAACCTCATCTTCCAAGGTAAGCAGCTCGGTGTCTGGGCTGCATTTTCCTTCTGCCAATTCTTGTACTGAAATTTATGTAACACTTGGTAGAGTTTTAAACAGTATATTTGTAGTTGGTTAAATATAGCTGCAAATTCTTTGCTGTTTCCCCCACTGAGAAGTAGAGTCTAATACTTGACCAACAGAATGTGACAGAAGTGGTGTCTGAGGCGAGGAAAGCTGCAGCTTTGCCTGGGTCTCTGGAACACTCTCTGGGAGCACTGAACTTCCATGTAAAAATTACTACTATTCTGTATGCCTTGTTAGAGAGGTCACATGTGTCACACAGGAATTCTGGTCAATACTCACAGCTGCGCCCAGCATTCTAGCTGTCCCTGACAAGGATGTAAATAAAACTGTTTTGCATTCCCTAGAATAGCCCAACCGCAATGTTAACACCAAGGAGTGACCTCTGTTGATGCACGCCCCGCCCAAATTCTTGAGATATAATAAAATGATTGTTGTTTTAAGCAATTAAGTTTTGGAGTAGTTTGTTAAGCGGCGAGTGATAACTAGAAAAGCAGTACAGAGAAAAGAATATATTTGGAGTTGGTTCTGGGCTTAAATTATAGCTTCATTATTTATTATTATGTAATGACAATATTATGTGATCTTTTTTTAAGAAGTTACACATCTCCCAGCCTCAGTTTCCTCCTGTGTGAAAGGGGTTGTTATATCGACCTCCTGCCTTCACCATGAAGAGGGAATGAGAAAACAGATGGAAACAGCCTGGTGCATGGTGGGTTTCCATGGTGTTCCTTTCTCCCCTTCTCAACCTCACCACACCCTCCTCTCTGCAGCTTTCTCAGATTCTCAGAGAGGGGACTGCACCAAGTGGCACCATCTGCCCCTGGTTCCCTCAGGACTTTATTCTCTTCTCTCTCTTCCCCATCCACTCATGGCTGTATCTGTTAAAACACACCATTTAAGACTCAGTGGGGGAAAGCATAGAATTCCAAAAGTGTGTTCCTCATAAAATGACCATGGATTCCTGCTCTAGGAAAAAAAAAATTATTTACTTGAACAGCTACTCCACTTTAATAATCAAGGCAGGAAATATAGAGGAAATTACAGAGTTACAAAGAGAATTAGATTTTTTTTAAGTTTCCTCGCAGTCCACAATCTAACAGTTTTTATTCGAAGCTTTAGAAGCAG